AGCATATGTAATCCTAAAATGTAGCATCGTACTACAGATGGCGCTCACCACGCCATTTGTTGTATTTTCTATCCTTATTTATTATTATTTATTAGTAATCAAACAAAAACGTAATAACCTATTAAGACAAAGCAAATTATACCTACCTATCAATTCTATCAATCCGTCTTTTGAGTAAATTGTGACCAACGAGAGGCGGCAATTCATGTGAACGATAGCGTAGCATATTTACGAATGGTTCTGTAACGCTGCGACTAAGTGCAAAAAAATTAGAAGAGACAATATTATTGTTGGGTTTTTATGTAGATTGGTACGAGAGGGAATCGGGAGGGGGGAGGGTTGCGGTAGAGGGTGTGGGAAACTCTTCCCCCGGAGGATGGAGGAGTGGAGTTAGTATCTTGTGGCATGATAGTCCCCTAAATGAATTTTCTGAATTGCTAATTATAGGGTTGGGTTACAACGGAGAAAGGTTTACCTGATACCCTCATGGGTATGAGAGTGAATTGGGAGGGGAGAAGGTTGCGATAGAGAGAGTAGGAAACTTTTCCCCTGGAAGAGGGAGGAATGCAGTTAGTATCTTGTGGCAAATATTTCTCTAAATTAATTTTCTGAATTGCTTGGGTTATGATAAAGAAAGGTTTCCCGCACACGTTCTTGGGTACGAGACGAGATTGAGAAGGGAAATGGTTGCGGTAGAGGGAGTAGGAATCTTTTCCCCTGGAAGAGGGAGGAGTGGAGTTAGTATTTTATGGCATGATAGTAAATAGAAATTTTCTGAATTGCTGAACACAAGGTTGGGTTATGATGGAGAAAGGTTTACCTGTTGATGATGATTTTATTGAATAGGATCAATAATTGATTCTTTTATTTCTCAAAAATGAAAGATTTCTGCAACTCTCCCATTCGGATTAGTTTTTTTTACTCTCTCTCTCCTGTACCCAGTAGATTGCTGTATATTAAAAATAACAAATATGGACTTTTACTCTTCAGGTGTCCCATACTCGCTTTTCATTTTTAGATTTCTTGATTAGAAAATATTCTTCTTTATAATACACCCAGAGGTTTCTGAAAATAAATAAATTACGGCTTTATTCCACTTACCTAATTTTCTTGCATGTGGGCGTGCTTGAGTGCTGCAATCCNTAATACAAAAATGATTATGGTCCTTCTGCTGTTTTTTCTTTTTCGGTAAAACTAAGACGGCGACTAATCATTTCAGTAACAATTTAAGAAAAATATTCGATGTAACATTAAAGCCAATCCCAAGAATTTATTTTAATCTATTACAGGTTGTAAATCCTGACGTTTATAAAGGGTTGTGGGGCGGTTCTAAATGTAGGGATAGCCCTGTACAAGCCCTCAGAGTGTGTTCCTGTAAAGGATCAGAATGTGAAGCAAAAGATAATTACATAAAGCAGTTCAAAGAGTTGTTTGACTACAGTTTACCAAAGAAAGGTGCTGCAGCATTTATTGCTGAATCGATTCAAGGTGTTGGAGGTACCGTGCAATATCCTAAGGGGTACCTAAAGGAAGCTGCGGACATAGTTAGGAAGCACGGGGGATTATTTATTGCAGATGAGGTACGATAAATATTTTACTTTCTAAAATCCCATGCTTATTAAAGTTGCATTACGATCTTAAGAATAGATGTGATTTATTGATAATACACTCCACTAGTATTTTATTTTAGTTCATCATCATCATAAGGTCGTCAGTCCTAAGACTGTTTGAACACACATCTCCACTAGAACATTTCATATCCTTAACTATTTGTGAACAGTAATCTAATCTAGGTCTACCTCTACTTCTCTTAACTTTTGTTTCTGCCTCTAATATGTCTCTGGGTAGAGCTACATGCCTGAGAAGGTGTCCTAACAACCTATCGTCATTCAAAGAGTCCTCAGTTTTCCTATTCTTTCTAATAGCTTTCCATTTCTAACCTTCTCTATCCATGGTATCCTCATCATTCTCCTGTAACACCACCTTTCGAACGCTTCTAACCTTTTCTTTTCCGCCCACCATCCATGTTTCGCACCCGTACAGCGCTGCGCTCCAAACATACACCTTTAACAACCTTTTTCGAATTTCTAAATTAACTGTTCGCGAACATGGAAGTGACTTCCTTTTATTGAAGGTGAATCGACCCTGCACTATCCTCTGCTTTACATCCCTACTACTCCTTCCGTCCTGACTTATCTANTATTGAAGGATACTCGACCGTGCGCTATCCTCTGCTTTATATCCCTACTACTCCTTCCGTTCTGACTTATCTGACTTCCTGGATATCTAAAATCAGCCACTTCTTCTAATTTTTCGTCTGCCATCTTTATATTCTCTCTTTCCCTACTTTTTCTTCACTTGCATGCCAGTATTGTTGTTTTACTTTTATTTATTTTTATACAGTACTGTTTTGTCAATACCGCTTCCATTTTATTTAAAGCTATCTCTAACTCCTCCTTGTAACAGTGTACAACCCTGTCTGACTCCCTTTCTAATATCTACTTCTCTACGTTGCAGCCCTAGCTCTATAACTGCCTTATTGCTTTTTATACAAACTATCACACTTCTTTCTCTGTAACTCATCCTTACATTCTTAAGTATATTTAACATCTTGTCCCATTTAATATTGTCAAAAGCTGTTTCTAAATCTACAAAACCTATATACGCACTCTTTCCTTTTTCTAACGTTTTCTTTACTGTTACCCATAAAGCTACATTGACCTCCCGCGTTCCTCTATTTCTTCCAAACCCAAATTGATCTTCCTCTGATAGTTTTTCCGCCCTTTTTTCCATGCCCTTCTGTACAATTCTAGTTAAGATTTTTGACGCGAAGAGAGGAAGGAGGAAAAAAGGAGACGGTTAGGGAAAGTTCGCTACGGGGAACTTATCCCATTAAATCTAACCTTATTCCTGGAGTCATACCACTACCCACATGTCTGTAGATATCCCTCTTCAGGTGTATACCCTAACTACTGAACTCCATCCTTTTGTTTGTTAGAAATTAATTAAAATGCTTCAATTATATACAAAATACATTAGAAATGGGAGAGGAAGATGTTTTAAGCAACTTTGCGAAGTTATGCTAATTGTTATAAATGTCTCGCAACTATTTGTGCCTCTCTTTTTAGGTATGGTTACTACCACGTTCCGTTTATAATTCTCTAGGACTTTCCCCTTCTCGTAAATGTGACTAAGTAGCTTAAACATACGATCTCTAGCTTCTTGTCCTGCATGTTTTAGAATTTCCCCCTGTATCCCATCTATACCTGGTAGTTTATTATTCTTTAAGTTCTTTAATGCTTCATCGAACTCTTCTCTTATTATAGGTCAACAAATTGTATTTGTCCAAATTTAAGTTATATTATTGAAGCTTTGAATTTTAATGTTTAAAAGATTGTCATTCTGTCGTTTACTACATTTTATTTTATTTTTGGAGCATGTGTACAGAAATTTAATGGCACATAAATAAGTTGAATTGATTGCTAAATGACTTCAGGTACAAACAGGTTTTGGAAGAACAGGGGAACATTTTTGGGGATTTGAGATGCACGGACTCGTCCCTGATATTGTCACAATGGCGAAAGGAATTGGTAACGGATTTCCCCTTGGGGCTGTTGTAACAACACCTACGATAGCAAATGCATTGACTCAAGCAGCTCATTTCAATACTTTTGGGGGAAATCCTGTGTCATGCGCTGCAGGATTAGCTACACTTGAAGTAAGTAATGTTGCGTAATCAAACACGTCTCTCACTAGTAACTTAATTTTTTAATTTTATACTCTCTAATTACATCACTATTATTACCAAATTTCTATTTCACTAGGATATCAAACAATTTATTGCTTCTTAGCTGTTTTTTGTATCGTCTCGTCGCTAAAACTTGAAGTATCGTCCTATCTCACGGTAATTATTTAAATCTGGTCTTCTTTGCTGTATGTTGAGTTGCCTACACGTGACAGTATGGTGGGTTGCCTACACAGGAGAGTAAGAGTTTTGTGGTTAAAAAACACCATTCAATTTAAAAAAATAATCGACAGGAATGGAAATATTACTCAATTTAAAGGCGTAGCCAAAGGGAGGTGATACACTCTAGCGTCGTGGCCCCTTAAAATTTTTGTATCTGGTAGATTATATGCGTTATGTACGTGTCAATCTTTTCTGGTTTAAGTAGATCCTCATCCCTCAAATATTATTACTATTATAAATTCAGCGACTTCAAATATGTTTTTGACAACTGATACACTAAATTTTCTCATGATGAAAGCATAAAGTTTCCCAAATCTACTTCCTAATTTTCAACACCTTTCATACGTTTTAATGTTTATTATTATTACTATTCATTTATGTTTTAAAATTTTGTACTTTTAATGCGTAATTTATATGCCTATTATAAGAAAGGATTGTCATTGTAATCAAACACTTATCTCACTGTTGCTAATTTATGTAATTATTTGCTCTCTAATTAACACCACTATTATTAATTAATTTCTATTTCACTACTATATCTTCTTCTTCGCTCTTCTTATTTTGCTTTATATTTCTTCGTCACTAAAACTCGAACTGTCTCTTCCGACCTCGCAGTAACTATTTATGGGGACTGGACTTGTTCTGAAAAATTTCAGAATATGACATCTATAAAATCTGTTACCTTTTTGTTATTATGTATGTTGGGGGACTTACACGTAACTCTACCTACCTCCTAAAACCGAACATTCCAATTAGTGACGTTGCCTCTGTAGGAAGCAAGCCGATCAAAACGGGTGATCTTCATTTTTGTCCGAGGTCTTTTCTGAATTTGATAGACAACGTCGTCGTATGGACCATTCCAAGCTTGTTGGAGTTTCGGACAACGTCCCTTTCGTCTTGATGGATTTATACAGTTACACTTTGTCGTCCTTATTAAACCCAGCAGAGTTGGCTCATCTATCGTATTTGGTGTTTATGTGGTTACTTTTTCAAATCGCAGCTTTGTAGATGACATTTGGTTGTCTTCGTAGTTCGCCCCCCGTATATGTCATTACTGGAGAGTCTTCAGGACAACCAAACGTCAGGCCTGCTGGAAACCTGAGATTTGTCCCAAATAAAATGTTGGCTGGTGTTCTTCCAGTTGTCTCTTGGATGGTGGATCTCTACGATAAGAGGAATTGCGTTAAATCGTTGACCCATTCTACCAGACTGCGTAGTAAGGGCGTAGTCCTCGTTTCTATAATGCCTATTAGTTCAGTGACCTTCTTGAATAAAACCGACTCGAAGTTCCTTTCTTGGTCAGAATGCAATTCCAATGATACTTCATTATCGGCTAATTTAGTCATTGACATGCTTTTCGATAGTAGTGTATGCTTCCTGATTCGAAATCGCATATCTTTCGGGACACTTGCTAAAGTAACCCATGAAGACCAAGATGTATCGGTTGTCGTAGTTCGTTATTGGGAATGGTTCTGCCACGTCGACTGCGATTCTCCCAAATGGCGATCCCACTTTGAATTGTTGCATTCGTCCACGAATTCTCGTCTTCGGTCCGTTATTGACGGTACATGTCGAGCTTATTCTGCACCAGTCTTCCACATCAGTTCTATTTCGAAGTGAATATAATCGTTTGCATACCTTCTCTAGATTCTTCCTAATGCTGAAATGTCCTTCGCCATGGATTGCTTCTAAAACTTTTAAAATTCTGTCCTTCAGAAGTACAACATAAAGTTTGTTTCTGGTTCAATCTGGACTCTTCGACATTCTTTCCAAAATGCCGTGGTCTAGAGTAAAAGAACGCAAAGTCTCACCGTGTTGTGTGTCTAGGCTATGTTTGATTTCGAACTCGTATTTGTCCTTTCCAGTTCGTGAATTGCAGTAGCTACTTCAGCGAGGCGTGATTCCTCGTATTTAAGAAGTGCCGTCGATACGGAAATTTAAGGAAATGTTCAAGTGTTTCAACCACACAGCTAGTAGCTCATCCTGTGCCATATTTTTCAAAGATGATGTCACCTATTGTTGGTTGCATTTAACAGAATATCTATTCCTATGTTTTACTTTCAAATTTAAATGGGATAGATTGTCTTGGACCCCTACTTACATTTCAATCATCAATTTTTCTTTCCGCTGGTGTTCACACCTTGTAGCTCGAAGTCGACCTGGAGACTTATGTAGGCCATTTTTGGATCTAGCATTATAATTCGATATATTCACAAAAAATCTAAGATGTTTTAATTTAGATATTATTTTTTTTGTTGTAAATAATTTAAACTTTGCAAACCGTATTTATTTTACCTGTCATTCATATCTTCTATCATTTTGCGTCACCCCCCCCTCCCGATGCCATTCACAACTAGATATGCACATTCCAGGAAAATACGTGGTATTCTTTTGACGCGTTTTTTATGTTAGGTACGTGTGAGCTGTGTGATCAATTATTCTGCACCTTTTTTTTTCATGAACTTAGAAGACCTAAACCTTTAATTTTATACAAGACACATGAATGTACCTGCGAAACTACTGTTATTATTTATGGTGATGAATATCTATTACTCATCATAGGCTCGTCAGTTCTAAGACTGGTTGGATACGCACCTCTTTCTTATCCTGAGTTAATTTTCGCGTACATAGCTCTAAACATATTCTCTATTTTTCTAATTTTTAAATTAACCGTTTGCGAGCACAGAAGCGACTTCTTGTAGTTAAAGGCGGCTCGACCCTGCGTTATTTTTTGTATTAGCCTGTATCTCTACCGCACCTCTTCCATCATAAAATATCTGACTTTCTAGATATTAAAAATCAGCAACTTCTTGTAATTACTTTTTACTCATCAAGTGGAAATTTATTTAATTCGAATTGGATCACTTTTGGATATTTGAAATTTTAATTTGACGATTTTTTATCTCTTTCACCTTAGATTATTGAAGATGAAAAACTTCAAGAGAATAGTGGAAACGTCGGAACATATTTACTTTTACAATTAGAACAACTGAGATCTGAGTTGCCAATTATTGGAGATGTCAGAGGTAAAGGTCTAATGATTGGGGTTGAATTGGTGGCGGGAAGTGGTACAAACGATGCGCTACCAGTTCCCAAATTTATGAAATTCTGGGACTATTGTAGAGAACAAGGTCTTATTGTTGGGAGAGGTGGAATTCATGGAAATGTAAGTCATACATCTTGTTTACTTATTACAGGAATCAGTATTCTATTTAAATTGCTAATCTGAGCTTTTAGTTAGATTAAGGTTTTGTTGGAAGGGATTTCTCTTGATTATTATACTCTCAAACGGGAACTTTCTACATAAAATTTTTAATCCCGCAGTTTAATAAATCGAAAATATAGGTATCCAGTCCTACCACTAAAATTATTTATTAATGAATGGGCTCAAACATACCTAGCCCCGAGCTTCTACGCCACTTAAAGTTAGACATATTTTTTATTTAACATTATTTTCTTTAAGGTGTTGCGTATTAAGCCGCCGATGTGTGTTACAAAGGAAGATGCTGATTTTTGTGTAAAGGTAATAAAAAAAGCTTCTGAAAAGATTTTATTAAAGGAAGATAGCGTATACGTAGGTGGTGTATAAATTATGCAGTAAATATGTTAATAAAATGGAACAGTAATAACTTTTTATCCTAAAAATTACCTACCAATAAATGACTAAAAGATGTAGATTCCTTATTCTTTATGTTACTTACAGCATTGGAAAAGCACTAAAATGTCGTTTTCTTTAATTCTATAAAAAGTATAATGTTACGCATTGCTTTGCTCGACCTCCTCCTTCTTGCCCTTTGTAATGAAGTGTTTGACAATATTTTCTCACAAATCGAATCACAATACGTAATACTTGATAGGCTCATTTCCTTCGAGATTGTAAATATCAGAGGCATCAGTACACAATTTTGTTATTAATGGGGAAGAAGCTTTTCGAAAGCAGTGGGAGGTAAATAAGGTAAGTAAATATTAATTAAAATAAAAAGAAGGTAATTTTCATTAGAAGATGCACTTATATTTTTTCGGAAAAACAAAATTGAAACTACAGCACACATTACAAATGCATAGTATAGGTAAATATAAATAGTATTTACGTAATGAAGCGCAATAATTGTTTATTCTTAGATATACACTTTAGTAATAGTGTAATATAATTAATTTTCCTAAATGGGAAGATAAAAATTAAAGTTTACTGGAATAAGTTTCCTTATTGTTTTCAGTTCTAATCGTAAGTACTATTACGTAATACTGTAAAAATTGAAAACAAAAGAGATAATTAGGAGATATTTATTCTCTGTGTTTTTCTACTAAAAGACAATTAAAAACAAAACGTAAACAATGTCTTCTTACATACCTAGCAAACAAATTGAATGCGCACTACCTTACTGCGCAGCGCACAAACGAGATACTATATGGCTCACGCTGAAAATTAACCAAGCCTTGTAGTTGTTACTGCTGCAATTTTTTCTTCTTGAGCTTGTCTATTATCTCTATGAAACGCGCTCTGACTGACTGATTATTGGGTAAAACTTTCAATTGTTAATTGTATAATAAAAACCAAAAAAAGAATCTACTTTAAAATTTCGCGAAGAATCATTAGGTAGATAAGTACATTCTCTATTTTTAAAGAATTTTTGAGTTCTACTTTGTACTTTTTAACCGCGGTCGAATCTTGGAATATTCACTCCAGATGCATGTTTCACGCAGCACACTTGGATTACATAAAATTCGATTTTGATAGATTTTTCTCCGATTGTGATATTCAGTCGTTCTTCAAAAGTCGAACGTTGAGATATCAAGCGTCTTCAGGCATTACTATTATATTGTACTCCCTCTCCACTAATTTAGAGAGCTGGTCGTTGTGAGATGGTACTCATATTTCAATTATAGGTACGTATGATTGTGAAGAAGAATTATTATTTACATAATGTTTTCCATTTCATGTTTTTGGACACTAACATTTAAATTCTACAGGGCATAGTTTTTAACTAAACCTTACCAAAATTTTGGTATAAACGAACCTACATTAGGCAAAGTAAAATATATAGTTCACATTCGCCTGTATTTGAATAAGAATTTATCAATTATTTCTGATCAAAGGGAGACAGGTGTGTTTCCATTTCCAACTTTTGAATCGAGATTCTTCTTCTCTAGTGCTTCCTCTTAGAAATTGTTCTATTGTGTCCGGAAAGACGCAAGGGGCTGATCCGGCCCTAATTCTCTAAATGACTTACAATTTAGAGTAGAATTCCCGCAGGGTTGGATGCAGTATGATCTCCACAGCTTAATCACCAAGTCGTGCTTCTTCACCCCATTCATATTTTAAGAATGGAATGAAGTGTCTATTTTGAGAATGAACGAATTTCTAGAAGTTTTGTGTATCGAATTATGTACATCATTGTGTAAAAGAGTAAGAATCATCTCTAAAATATGGGTAATAATTGAAAACTCTATTTATGTTTCGACTGAGTCACATTCTTAAGTATATTTAACATCTTGTCCCATTTAATATTGTCAAAAGCTGTTTCTAAATCTACAAAACCTATATACGCACTCTTTCCTTTTTCTAACGTTTTCTTTACTGTTACCCATAAAGCTACATTGACCTCCCGCGTTCCTCTATTTCTTCCAAACCCAAATTGATCTTCCTCTGATAGTTTTTCCGCCCTTTTTTCCATGCCCTTCTGTACAATTCTAGTTAAGATTTTTGACGCGAAGAGAGGAAGGAGGAAAAAAGGAGACGGTTAGGGAAAGTTCGCTACGGGGAACTTATCCCATTAAATCTAACCTTATTCCTGGAGTCATACCACTACCCACATGTCTGTATCCCTCTTCAGGTGTATACCCTAACTACTGAACTCCATCCTTTTGTTTGTTAGAAATTAATTAAAATGCTTCAATTATATACAAAATACATTAGAAATGGGAGAGGAAGATATACTCGCTTTTCATTTTTAGATTTCTTGATTAGAAAATATTCTTCTTTATAATACACCCAGAGGTTTCTGAAAATAAATAAATTACGGCTTTATTCCACTTACCTAATTTTCTTGCATGTGGGTGTGCTTGAATGCTGCAATCCTTAAATATGCTGAATTACTGTTGATATCAATATAAATTAAAAATGGTTTCCTTTGATAGGTTGTTTACTTCGTTAATAGCGGTTCGGAAGCAAATGAGTTGGCAATTTTGATGGCAAGGATTTTTACCAACAATTACGAAATAATATCGTTAAGAAATGGCTATCACGGTATGAGCAATTTGACAATGAATGTAACCGCTCAATCCCATTATAAATATCCAACACTTCAGGCCATAGGAACGCATCATGTAAGAATTTGTAACGATGGTGAAGAGTTTTGAAGTACATAAAGTGTTTGGTAAAGAAATCTGTTGAAATTGACAAACCCAAATCGCGATTTCGTTTAATAAATATTANTGTGTATCGAATTATGTACATCATTGTGTAAAAGAGTAAGAATCATCTCTAAAATATGGGTAATAATTGAAAACTCTATTTATGTTTCGACTGAGTCTTTGTCATGACGAATTTAATTATAAATAAAAATTATTAATACATTTAAAAGCGTTTTGTTGTGTGTTAAGTGTTATGTTTAAGTATTGTGTGTTGTATATGTTCTAGGTTGTGTCTTGTCTTGTGCTTTTTTGTCTTTATTGCTACGGCAGTCGTGTTCGATACCTTATCTACCCTCGCCAGTTGGTTTTATTTCCTAACACAATGTATTGGTCCTTCGTGCATCGGATATTACCATTATTTGCATGTATAAATGTATTAATAAATATTGCAATACTATTGTCCAGCAGTCGAGTGATTTCATACGTATAGAAAGTGTACAGATAGGTTCATCATTTCATCATTAACAATCATACGTATGACAAGCATCCTTTGGGACTAATAAGCAACATTATAGTGCCAAATATTCACTTTCATCACGTCAACACATTCATACACAACTTTATACCACGCATTCGAACACACACACACATGTACATTCTTCAGAGCAGACATCATTCAGAAATCAATAAATCACAGTCATGTATTAGAACCATTTCCCCATTTCTGCATCAACAAAATTTGTACAGGTAATTTTGAATATTGTCAAGCAGTTTACATAGTTTTAGGCACGAAAACATTTTTATCCATTTTACTGAACTACTGAACAAATGGAATCAAAATCAATAATTCAAAAACGTGATCAATTAAAGCCGTCATTAACAAGATTTACTAAAGTCGTTGACAAATTTCAAGAAAATAAAGATTTTACACAATTACAATTAAGAATCTATGACATTCATTCAGTAAAACTTGAGTTTGACAATATACAATTTTGAGCAATTATTTTCGCAAGTAAAAGATGCTAAATTGTCGGTTCTAGATTTGCCACATTTTTATGTCGACTATACGCAGTGGATCCCATACAATGTTATGTCATTGTTTCATTCCGATAATTCATTAAAATCATACTTAAAGGGAGGCCCTGAGCAGGCCTTGTCTTCCATAGAAGTAACAGAAGAAAACCATCAAGCAACGTGGACACTCTATCGCAAACGTTTTGAGGACGAAAAAATAATTAAACAAAATCATTTGAAAGCATTAATGGATTGATCACAAATAACAAAACAATCTGACATTTCATTCAGAAAAGTATAAGAGGGAATGCAATTACATTTACGAGCATTAAATTTATTGAATTAGCCTACCGAGAGCTGGGATAGTATTAATATTTACGTATTTTCTCACAAGTTAGATCCAGATTCTGCTACACAGTGGAAAGAATATTTACAAGATATTAAAAACCCAAGCATGGGAGAATCATTGCGAGAAAGTAAGACAATCCTAGTAGAGCTTACAATAAGTAAAAAACCTAAACAAAAATACATTTTAAAATATCGGGGTAATCGATCACAATCATTTGCTACCGTATCAAGTAATGAATGAAATAATTTACAATGTTAGTAATGTCAACCTGTGTTCGGTGGTTGCAGTATTCGCTCACTGCCCCATATATTCTTTCGGATTTTGTTGACGAATAAATCACCTTTTTGGTTTGTTTGGTTTATTTTGTACAATATAATACACTATGTACACTTACTATTTTATTGTATATTGAATATTGGTTGATAATTGAATTGTTGTTGAATGTGAATTGATTTGAATGTTAAAGCTTGAATGTTGATTTTCGAATACTAAAAATTTGAATTCGCGTTGTTTAAATAACGTTGGCACAAAATAGGCAACGCCTATCGTGCACATTACCCCTTCGCCGTCGCTACGTACCCCTAAGGTATTATCTGTACATTCCGAAGTGATGACGTAGCGACGGACTTGGGTTTTCCATTAATGAATGGTTTTGTGAGACCTACCTGGTCCGATCTCTTCGTTAAAATTGCTGCATTACCTATTCTAAGAAACTAATATTTATCTATACCTACAGAAATAAATACATTAAAATTGAATACAACTAGAATAAAATACAAAGTGTTGACTATCTAAAAATACGAACAAAATTAAATATTTACAAAAATTACAACCCTAACAAAATTGATTATGTATATATACAAATATTAATTGAAGCCGCAACATGCCGCCCGCCTTGAAAGGACTACGTCTCTTTCAATCATTAAAAAGAATTGTTATTAGGTAACGGGCACACCTT